TGCAAAAGAAGATAGGAAGTAAGGAGCAGGGGCGAGGGCTGAGGGGTAGTAATAGCAGTTGTTGAAAAGGTGGCAGAGACACTGTCATTTACTGGAGTACCTCCTGGGCATATAACCATATTAAAATCTCCCAACACTGACAAGTATTTACTATTGCCCCCCTTTTACAAATTAGGAAACTAAAGTGAAGAGGTTCATTGACTTGCATAAGGAAACATTATTGCTAATTCTTGACTCCTGTTTAAAATCAAGCCTGACTGAAGACACAGCACGATGGACCATGAATTCAGAAGGATCTCGGCTTCCAGCAGGGCTCTTGCCACAAAGCACGAATTTTGGAACCAGGCAAATCTGGTTTGAAATGCTAGCCCGTAGCTCCTATGTGTGACTTCAGGCAAGTTACTTCATTTCTTTAAGTCTTGTATTCACCATAGTAAATAGTGATATTATTTACCATCCAAGGTTGCTGTGAGGATTAAATTAGGTAAGATCTAGCTCAAATTACCTAACCACAACCTGCCGTATATATGGTCGGCTCTCATAAAATGTTAAAATTTTACTTGAAGTCCAAGATTCAAATCGTTCTTATCTATAAAAATTTGAGCAAGTCATCCAAAACCTTAACCCTCACTTTTCTCATAGGTTCAATAAAAGTATCGCACACTTCATAGGCTAGGACTAATTAAATGTTAGCACTACAGACAGGGTTTCTTACACTTTAAAATAAGTAACTGTTTTCTTGGTTTTCTGTTTTTCTTTCCCTTAGGTTCTAAGAGGGAAACACCAGGACTGCAGTGCAGAAATCCTAACATACTGAGCTAGGTTCTCTGTCCTGCCACGAGGCTTGGAGTGCCAGTGTTTGGAAGAACAGGTTGGGATGACACACATATATAATTTAGGAATTGGGAAACATACTGCAGCATACCACCATCACTCTGGAGAAACCCCATGCAGATACTAGTGACGTTGAGGCATTTTTCTGTTTTGATTTACATCCACATAGCTGGTGAGAAGGTGAATAGTTCTCAGGATGGAGACTAGAGAAGTGCAGAACATACTTTTTTACACTTTTTCCATATTGTTTCCTCCCTTACAATATAAAGTCCATAAGTCTGTCTTATTCATTATTGAAACTGCAGCACATATAAGAGGTAGGATGCCTACAAGTGCATGAACAAAGTGGATAAAGTGAAAACCAACTAAATATAAAATCAAGATTTGTTCATAGTTTTGAAGAGGCAGAACGAGACTGACTATTGGAAAGCCAACTTGTGTAGTGCTCCTTCTGTTTTCTCTTTATTACCAGGCTCTGAATTGCTGGAAAAGGCAGATTTCTTCTTTAAATGAAAACATAATCGGCATCAGAAGATAACAGTAACTTCAAACGGAATTGAAACTCCCTGCCTGGCCTTTTGATCAAAGGTGCATAAAGTCAGAAGCACTAAACTTTATCACAGCCAGTTAATAAAATAGAAAGCAGAGAAATATGAAGAGTTTTGAATGTTCTGGTACTTTGTCTTTCAAATTCACTTTTGTGCAAAACATGCACATACACAAATATGCATATATGAAGTATTAATTTGCTTATTTTCTGGCTGCATTGCTGCAAAAGCCTTTTTGATTTGGGAAGCCACACATTTTACTCCTTTCTGACCATACCATTAGCTAGAAGCTTAGCACACAGCTTCTAGTCACACCTTCAAACCTCAGTGACTTATCAGATCATAGCAGCACACTGTTCTTCCTGCTCCAGACTAAAAAGGATGTCTGGAAAAAACCGTAGCATGCAGGGAAGATGGTCCGAATCACTTCACTGGGAGGGCTAACCTCACCCAGGCAGGTTCCCACCAGCTTTATTTGTCCTAATGTTTTTTATGCCACTGCATGACACTCGATTTCCTGGTTCTCATAGTAAAAATAAAAATAAAAAGATGGCTATCTTGAGATTTTCTGTTTCCCTGTCACCCTTTTTGTCCTTGTCTTTACAGTACAATATATTCAGATGCTCTAAATTCAAAGTATATTGTCCCAACTGGACTTCCAGCAATCAAACAGTAACCATCCTTCCTATTCTGAGAAACCAAACAAGAGGGCCACCTCAGGAATTAAGTTAAGCATGATTACATAATGGCAAAAAAAAAAAAAAAAAAAGGATTCCTGATGGCGATTTAAGGGAAAATAGTTGAGCTGATCCATAATTAAGACTTCCGATTCTTAAATCAGCATTCTTTCCACCATATCACATGGTTCAAACTAGGATAACGTAGATACTTAAGATTTTGAGTGGTAGTTCTCCAACTTTACTGTTCTTCATATGGGAGTCAGGCCAAGGCAGATTCTGAACTCACCCTCAAATCTTTCATTTACCTTTGTTGTTTATCTTTATTATATTTTTAATTTTTAAAAAATTTATTTATAAAGACAGGGTTTCACCATGTGTGCCAGGCTGGTCTTGAACTCCTGACCTAAGGTGATCCGCCTGCCTCGGCCTCTCAAAGTGCTGAGATTACAAGCATGAGTCACCACGCCCGGCCTCATTTTAAAAAATTTCTATTCTAGTTCATTATCTGTTCATGCTAGGAATCCAGTTATTCATTAAAGGGTCAGTGGTTAAACTTACAGCACAACGTATGTTACAAATCAAAACAAAGTAGTCTAATAATAGAATATATAAATCATCTCAGCTACATTTGTATTCACATTAAAAATATCCATACAAATTGACTCAGCCTGATATCAGTGAAATACCAAAGATAAATAATCTAGAGGCAAATAATCTAAGGAGAGAGCAAAATAGCAACCAATTCAACAAACTTCAAACACACCTAGTGGCCAGGCACAGTGGCTCATGCCTGTAATCCCAGTACTTTGGGAGGCTGAGGTGAGCAGACAAGATCAGGAGTTTGAGACCAACCTGACCAGCATGACAAGACCCCCATCTCTACTAAAAATACAAAAATTAGCCACGTGTTGTGGCATACACCTGCAATCCCAGCTACTCAGGATGCTGAGGCAGGTGAATCTCTTGAACCCGGGAGGTAGAGGTTGCAGTGAGCTGAGATCGTACCACTGCACTCCAGCCTGGGCGACAGAGCGAGACTCTGTCTCAAAAAAATAAAAAAGACTACATGGAAAAGACTGTGCTGGGGTTCTGCACTATCTCATGAGAGGGGAAAAGGTGGGATGAGGTGTAGAAACAGTGCTTGGAAAAAAGTTTATTTCAAGAGGTCTCTTTATTAAGAAAGGAGGTAAAAGGAACATAACCTGAGTGCAATAAAAATCTAGTTTCATATAAAACTAATACTATACAAAATTCAGTTTCTAATGATCACTGTCCATCAGCAGCTTACAATCAAATAAAAGACAGATCAAAGTATAAGAAAGTTGTGGTGAATAATATTTTCCTAATGGCCTAGTCTCCCATCTTGGTTTAAATATGAGAAATCCTAGTAGATAGTGGGGATAGAGCAAAAAAATAATCAATACATAATAAGTCAGAGAATGGGGACAAAGACTTAAAGATTTTTTAATGTAAGCACTATTTCACCTCAAACTTGTTCAGTTTTGAATGAATCATCTTATTCAACAGGAGCCACAAAATGAAGGTTATTTTGAGGAACAACCAAAAACTATGGGCCCACTGGAAGTTCAAAAGGCAATTGCTCTTCTTTCTTCTTGAGGCTGACACCAAATGCAAGAATATTATACGATTTTGTATTGCACAATTATCAAGGTCTACAACTGGAACAGAAATATTTTACAAACAAGACCTGAAGATGACGCCGTACTTGCACAATGAAGTAGAAATCAGTTGCTTTCCATGGCAAATGTGAAGACAGTGGGTCTTCGTTTTGAGCAGTGAAAAGGACCATCTAGTGCTCCATGGCAAAAAGGTCACCAAACCATGCTCTAGACCTATACTGTCCAAAGGGTTGCCCCTAGACAAATGTGGCTATCTAAATTTAATCAAAACTAAGTATCACGACAAAAAATGTAGTTTACTGGCACCAATTACACTAGTTAAGTGAAAAACCAAGATGATCTATAATAGACATATTACAGTAAAAAGGATGTTAAATATACAATCTAGGTTGGCATATATTCACTTTATAAATCTCAAGTTTTATGTTTTATCCTTTCCACATCAGAAAAAATTTCTTTAAAGAGCACCACAGATTCAGTTGTATGAGGCGCATACCTCAAGTAATCAGTAACCTTATTTGGCCAGTGGCTATCCTATTGGATTGCACTTAGAATATTTCCATTATTGCAAAAAAGTTACTGGACAGCCCAACTCTAGAGCCTAGCTCAGGAATCCTGGCAAGATTTCAGAAACTAATTATTCCGCCCAAAAGTCAGTGCTAACTCCTTCCTGGGGCAAGTGGATCGTAATTACCAAAACAGCATAACGCTTAAAGAGTGGGGGTTCAGATGGAAGAATAAAAGGAAACAAGGGACACGGTTACTATCAGAAAGAGGCTGAAAAGAACAGGGAAACTTAAGAGAGACCTGTGTTCAATAGGAGTTAAAAATATTTATGTACATTCCCACATACCTGTGTGTTTGTCTAAATATTTAACAATATATAAAGCTGAAAACTCATTTAGTTCTCCCCCAACCACCACACAGTAAACATATTGTGAATTCAGGAACAAGGGCATAATCAAAGACACGCCTAATATGGGGTAGAATTTACTCTTGTAACACTTTAGGACATCACTGCTTATAACTGAAAATATTTAAATGTGAATAATCCCTGAGGGGTTTGTGATAACTGCAAATGACCCAGACCTTCCATAAGCCCCCAAAATTAAATTCAATCATGAATGGAGGAAATATCTACAATTGCTTTTAATGGATGAGAATCTGGCTACATATTTCCACCTAAAGTATCTTCTATCACCGGATATACCTACCAGAACAATTTGTTATTATCTTTAAAGTGAATTGGAGAATGGCCTCCTGGAAAAAAACAAACAAACAAAAAAATAGTCTGCAACCAGGATTTGGCATGTTTTATTAAAGCAAATTTTTAACAAAAGGTGGCTTTTATTTACAGAATTTAATGTGTGTGGGGACTGTCCAAACCATGTGGACTCAAGTTAGGATAACCATTAAGCCTGTTAATGTACTTTCTTATTTTCAGTTTACATACAAATTTTCTTTTGCTTCACATTCATAAAAACCCCAATATTGTAAATGACAAATAAACCCTCCATCCCTTAATTAAATATACAAACAGCTTGAAAACATGGAATTTAAATTGGTTTAATCTTGAAGTGTAATCCAATGAGACTGAAAACTAAACATTTCAAGTCTTGTACCAAATAGTAAAATACTCGAAGGCCTTCAGGATCCCTAAAATTTAAAAAGGTAAAAGTTACTTTTTGTTCCTAGGATAAAACAATTCTTTAAATTCCTAAAACAAAACAAAATCAAAATCTTACAACAATTAAGTTAACAAAATTTAGGAGAAAGGAAGGATTTTGCTAACAACTAAAATGAACATACAATGAATATCTTTTCTATAAGAAAAAAAATTTCTTCATCAGTATTCATTTTAGTAATTAAAGAGTTTAATCTTCTTATGAATGTAATAACCACATCATAAAAATGTCTAATAAAGCAGAAAAAAATACTGTAATGCCATTATTTTCATAGAATAACTACAAACATTTTGACATTTCTCTATTCGTTAATAACTACAACCATTCCCTGTGCCCTTTTTTAATTACTTTCCCCATGGCACTCAAAAGAACTCACTAATAATTTTGATTAATTTAATAATTCTCCTCTTATTAGACACTGAGATTATTTTTCTATTATAAATAATACTTCAATGAGCATCTTCATGCATAATAAAGCTTTTCCAATATTTAGGAACAGTTCCATAGAAGAGATGCTGAGAAATTAATTACTAGGCCAAAGGTGAATGAAAAATGTTTACAGTTTTTGATGCATATTACCAAACTGCTTTCCAAAAACCACTACAGTTTATAATCCCAGTAGGGTATCAACGCCACATCCGCACCAAATGTAGGAAAATAAATTTGATAGTTTAAAAGCATCTGGTCGGTCCTCGTGAACACAGACTTTAGTGTCCAACAGTTATTATGCATTCATTCCTTTCTCCTTTCCTCTAATAAATATCTATCAAAAGCATCTATAATGTGCAGGGCACTATACTAACTTTGAGGATACAGCAAGGTTCTCATGGCGCTTACATTCAAACCAGTAAAGCAGACAAATAGGTTATCACAATTTAGGGTGACAGAAAAAAGTAAGAGTACTATGGGGACACACTGAGGGGAATGGGCAGAAAGAAGACCAAGAAAATGGGATATGCTACAAAACCCGGGATGGAGGGCAGACAGATCTTGGGAAGACATTGGTAGCTAAAGGATATTTAGGCTATACTGAATTTTTTCCATTTTTTTTTTTCCCCAAGTATTAAGCCCAAGGAGGAAAGTGAGATGATATGGCTCTAATAGGTCTGATATAATCCAATAAGGATTTCTTTTCTTTGGATTTTCTGAAACTATATCCACATTTTTATACAAAATGGCTAATACAATTTGGGCATTATTATATATGGTTGTTAGATTACAATTTTTTGGACAATCAATGAAATACTCTGCTAACTTCTACTGAGAGACAAGATAAGAAGTCGTTAATGATATAAAAATCAGAATTACATCTACATAACAAACTGATAGGTTTATCAATTCACTGTAATGCCTCTGAAATTATCGTGGTTAACAAACTGACTATAGTTCTAAAATGAGTCTTTCTAATAATGACAACTTAGCCAAAATGCTTTAACATACTTACTTTGACTGATTTACATCAATAAGAGAACCTATTTTTGATGTGGTAAAAGATATGTGCTCATCTCCAATGACAATTTCAAGCTCCTAAAAAAAAAAAAAAAACAGAAAAATGTAGTTAATGCAAAAATCTATCCCAGAAATATCTGTATTCCTGCTACAAATGGATCCCAATTCTAGTTGTAAGTTTTCTAGCAGTCAATGGAGGGAGACGAGAAAAAAAAAAAAAAAAAAAAAAAAACTTGGTTTATTAGATACAAACATATCTTTTAAAAAAAACTTAACTACTCATGAGCACTACCCCCAAGTTTAGGACCAACAAAGAATTGCTTTTCAGAGACCTAACGAAGACATTATGAAACAAAATGACAAAGAAACGTTTCTTACAATGTCAGTAAAAACTAAAGACATCACTTTGAAGCACATGTTGTAAAAAATGATAGGAATATAAGCTCATTTTTAATATGATAAATACACACGTTTCCTTTCTGGAAGATCCTACAAATAAAATACGTAACAGTAATAACCAACATCACTTTAGCACCTACTGTATGTCAGGTCCTAGTACTAGGGACTTTACACTCTCTATAATCTTGAAAATAAAATCTATTTTACAAATGTGCAATCCAAAACTCATAAAGCAGAGGAAAACAACTGCATTTAATAACCACTAAAAAGTGATAGTACTTATATTTGATCTCAAGATTGTAAGATTCAAAACTAATACTCCGTAAAATAACTAAAATGAAGAACTAGTAAAACAAATACAACATACTATAGATGTTCCTAGTGTGCTGTAATTACTGTATAGATTTTTCTCTATATTATCTGTAGGCCTAAAACCAATAACGAAAAGGCTCTATCTGTAATGAATTTTCAAGTTAACAGACACTATTGAATACAGTCCTAGCTATTTATTTAACCAGAAGGCCTAATTATGCAGTTTAATGACACACGCCAAATGGAAAATTAACTAAGATGCTCTAACAGCCATAAAACCTTTGACTTGATACAAAAGGCAATTTCTGAAGCATGCCGACTCCTCCTCGCTAACCAAAACCCAGGAACACATCCTTAAGCGAGTAGATAAAATACTAGGCTCTCCCTGAGTCTAAATGATAATAAAAGGTTAGCTGCTGTGGTCTGCTTTTCAGTACACATGTATATACGCATAAAACAAACTGAGGCCTAAATTTACTTTTTAAAAGTGATACGTACAATGCTTAGAATAAATACTGTTAACTATTACCTTTGCTTTCCTAAATAATGTTTCTTTAAACAGAAGAGTTAAGTACTCCTACAGAATGTCAGCATCTGTTATATTTCTCCACATTTTCTTCTAGTCAAAGAAGGTGATAGAAAGTACAATCCTCAGGAATACACAAAAGTGAAATTAAATGCTTCTTCCTTCCAGGGGTTGTATCTCATTTCTCCAAGAGTTGAAAAGACCCAATTCAGAAACCAAACTTTCTTTCTACAGAATGAAATTAGGCCTTCAGAGTTCTTCAGAAGCATTTTGAGAAACATCAATTATTCTGAAGGAATATGAGAGGCAAATGCAATAGTCAGTTGTAACAAAGAAACCACCAATCAAGTCTCTCTCTGGGGTATAGGGATGCAAATAAGAATTTTGAAAGTTATGATTTGGCAAAAGTAAATTTTACATAATCATATTCTTAATAAAAGTGATCAACACACAACCGAAATTTTATAACACTGCACTGTGGAAACATCCTAACACTGTCTGGGGTGACTACAGAGAAGATGTCTAAATTTAGAACTATGCACCGACTCCTTTACTACTCGGAGGTAGGACAGAAAACGGAACTAAGAGAGATAAAGAGAATTTGCCACATGCCTACTGAATGGAAAGCCAAAGAATCAACTTAGACTCCTTTAAAATAAACAAGGGAAAGCATAACAGTATTATCATTTTTTAATATTTATGCACTTAAAGAATCACTAAATACAAACCTGTCGGCCAACCCTGTCAGGGGGAGGCCACAAAGCATCATCTTCTTTTGTAATTTCACTGTCATCAATAATTCTCTTCAGTTCTTCCATTACACTCTTGTGCACATAAGCCTAAAAATTAATCATAATAAAATTTGATAATGTCCACTTGTGTCACCCCTCAACTCAGAAGGAAATAAGAGTTACAAACACTGAATATTCAAATAGAGAAATACTGAAAAATTTAATTGATTCCAACGGTATAGAATAGAATCTTTTATCCTTGTTATATTAATTTTCTTCATCTCTTGCCCTTTCCTTTAACATACATTTTTTCCCTTTTCTTATCATTAACTGCCTTTGAAAACACTGTATTCTGCCTTTGTAACACTGAGATCCAAATGCCTCCGAGTGGTTAACTTGTGATGTCACAAGATCTATAAGGTGAACAGTAATGAATGCAAGTATACTGAGGCAGGAGAATCACATGAGCCTAAGAAGCAGAGGCTGCAGTGAGCTGAGACTGCACCACTGCACTCCAGCTTAGGCGACAGAGCGAGACTCTGTCTCAAAAAATATAAATAAATAAATAAATGCAAGTATAGTTCACATCACAGTTAGTTCTCTGAACTTTCTCATTACTATGGATGCAACAATTGTATCTATTCTAAACAGAAACGCCTTTCTATCTATAAATTGACTTCTTTACAATAGAGCCTTAGATGTATTTTTGTAAATTCAACACACACTTGAAGAAAATGGGCTAAACAAAAAAAAAAAGACATTTGAATATAACTTACCTCTTTTCTGATCATGACATCATTTTTGTAATTGCTGTTGTTGGCATATCTAAGCTTTCCTGTGGGAAGTGGAGAAAAAAATCAATTTATAATAGCAAAAACTGCTAAAAAAAATTAATGACATTGTATACAATTATGAAGGCAAAAACCATTTTATACTACTTTTATTAATATTTCCTCCCTCCTTGTGTAAGATCAATGCTAGACATGTAGACAATAAATATTTGCTGGTTAAGTTTGCTGAAGTTGAAGCTGCCCAAATATTTAAATGGCCCATGCCTATACTACATATTGGGTCATTTTTAAGGCCTGTTTTCTTAAGCACTAGAAAGAGAATCTGCAAAAGGCACTAACATTCTTTCAAGTTTGTTATGTGTCCGTTATTGGTGCTAAGTGCCTTACTCAGAGCATTTAATCTTTAAAACAATCCTAAAAAACAAGTTTTATTCTCTCACCTATTCACAGGAGAGAAAACAAAGTTAAGTAACGTAACCAGGGTCACACAAGATTCAGATCTAAATCTACTTTCTTTCAATACTCATGCTTTCTCCACTACACTAAAATGTTTTAATTTTTTCCTTCAAGTGTATGCATACAATTATAATGCAGACATTTTAGAATTTTGACTAAGAAGCATACAAACGATGCTTTTGGGTCAAAGTTGGTGAGTTTGTTAGCTGGTTTATGTTTAATTTTAATCCATCATGATTTTTGTATTCTCTGATGCATACTTCCCCTTATGGCCAGTCAGTTGCCCTGACACAGCTATAATGTACTACAGATACTCTAAAATGATAGAAATGCCAATCTTTGATGGCTGGGCACAGTGGCTCATGCCTGTAATCCCAGCATTTTGGGAGGCTGAGGTTGTTGAATCACCTGATGTCAGCAGTTCAAGACTAGCCTGGCCAACATGGTGAAAAATCAGCTGGATGTGGTGGCGCATGCCTGCAATCCCAGCTACTTGGGAGGCTGAGGCAGGAGAATCCCTTGAACACAGGAGGCCAAGGTTGCAGTGAGCCAAGATCATGCCATTGCACTCCAGCCTGGGCGACAGAGCAAGATTCCACTGTCAAAAAAAAAAAAAAAAAGAAAAAGAAAAAGATGCCAGTCTTCGGGACTCACTATTACCAATGGAAGTATGGGGAATAGTGCAGTGGCAGATACACTGATTAGAACCATTGTTCTAGCATAAAATTTCCCCGATAATATTCAGGTACTTAATTTATGTGACCTACTAAAAGGGATATGGATGAGGATGATGTTGTTCACAGCCAGAAGAACTGAAAATAATATTACATAAAGAAAGATCAATTCAGGTAAATTTAGCTGAATTTATGGGGAGAGTAAGGTTGAATACAGCGATTAAGGTTTCTAAATAATTGCAGGGCTGGCTGGGTACAGTGGCTCATGTGTGTAATCCTAAGACTTTGGGCTGCTGAATCACTTGACCTCAGGAGTTTGAGGCCAGCCTGGGCAACATGGTAAAACCTGTCTCTACCAAAAAAAAAAAAAAAAAAAAAGAGCCGGGAGAGATGTCGAGGGCCTTATTACCAGCAATTCGGGGGGCTGAAGTGGGAGGATCATTTGGGCTGGAGAGGCAGAGGTTGTAGTGAGCTGAGATTGTGCCACTGCACTCAGATCAGAATGACAGAGTGAGACCCTGTCTCAAAAAAAAATAGTAACTGCAGGACTGTAGTTGACGTGCGTTCCGTTTGAAGTGCCTGATACTCTTCTCCTTTCCTAATATACACTCCTCCTGTAATTTTTTATTCTTGCTCTCACAGAACATTGTCCAAAGCATGCTTATAGGACTTAGTATGCATATTGCTTTATAGTTAAACGTCTGCGTCTCCCACCAAAAATTTAATCTCTTTGAGTTAAATTTAAGTCTTACTATTGTACCTTCAAATTTTGTATTTGCTTGTTGCCCAGCACAAAATGTGCATTCAAAAAAAAAAAAAACAAAAAATATGTTTCTAAATGAACTTTCTTGTTGCAAGTAGGCAAGATCAATATCACATTCTCTAAGGATAGTGCTGTCAGAAAACACAAATTGTTGCACACTACATGGGTAGCAGTTTCACCTGGTCATTCTGCTCTGGAAGTCTGGTTTTTGGTTTTTTTTTTCAAAGGCCAAGTCTCTCATTTCCAGACTCATCTCAAGAGTATCGTCATCTAGGAAGATTTTCCTGACTCCCTCCTGTGGAACTTTGCCTCTCCCCTCTTTTTTGAAACTCTATATACATGTTGTGGTGAACAATTATACTTAAGCACCTAAAACATATTATTCTCATTTCTTAACACATCGGGCTCCTCCCCTTCAAAGAACACACACAGCCTGAATGAACAAAACGTACTGGTGGCAAGATTTTATTCATCCATTGGCCCACCAATGGTGGGGGTGTTTTCAAAAAGATGCTAGCAATTTTAATTAGGGCGACAATCTCCAGAGCCTTTAAAGTCCCTTCTGGTGCACTGTTACAAAATTATGATTACTATAGTTTCGATTTTTCAGTTTGTGACAGGATTAGCTTTTCTCTTTCCTTTATAAAACCAACTTGGGCCCCCTATATTCTTAAGCTCCTATTTGCTTCGAGGAAAGCACTGGCCTCCGCCCCCCGCACACTCTCAAGCCGACCGCAGCTCGGCTCACCCCACACCACCCGGCCTCCCCTCGCCTCCTCCACGGACTCCAGGTCTCGCTCCCCTTTTCTAGCACCGCGTGCCGTGGGCCTCTTCTCACCGTCTGGCCGAAATTCGAACTCCAGAAACTCGTGCCCAAACTTGCCCTTGTGCCCTACGTAGTAGCGCAGGTAGAAATCGCTGGCCATAGACATTTTCGTCCCCGGTAAGCCCGCCGAAAACCGAGACAACGTGTCGCCCGGCGCCTTGCAGTGACGTCACGCGCGGACTATGTGCGTCACGACAGGCGCCGCTTTTCTTCAATCCGTGCAGCCCTGCAGGAAAGCAAGAAGGCAGGGTCTCGCTCGAGAGGCCGGAGGCGCCGAAGGCAGGGTCGCAGCGACGTGACTTACGCTTTACGGGGATTGGAAGCACATTATTTTGAAAATAAAGATTACAGTATATTAGCAAAGACTAGAAACCTGAGCATATGATAGGCTTTTTTACGGATTTGGAGCTAAGGTTTGCAAGTCGCTTTTACTTTTCTGGTCTCCCAATCTGGCATCTGTGAGGTGGGTGTGGCTTCATGTGCCTCTAACTGTGAGCTAAATGAAGATAAAGCTTAGACTCGAAATAGCAGACTGGGAGAATAAACCGTTTTCCTTGGTTTGTAACAGGGTGCTTTCCCCTTTGGATAATGATTGGTAGTTACCTGGGAACTATAAGCCGATAATAATAGAGACAAAGTCAAAGAAATCTATCACACGAAAGAGCTGAAGTCTTACACACACAGACACACACACGCACACACTGAAAAACCCTGACAGTTATAACAGCTATAAGCCTATAATAATAGAGACAAAGTCGAAGGAATCCATTATACGGAAGAGCTGAAGTCTTAAAACACACACACACTGAAAAATCCTGACAGTCACCGTGCTTTTAACAGCAGAACTTCTAAGGTTCTTCATTCATTCAGTAAGGGTTAACTTTTAGTAGCCTGTGGAGTTTGGGCAATTTGATTTAAGATATAATAAGGATATTTAGCCCACGTTTCTCACCGGGTAGAATTAAATGGGAGGGATGAAAGAATGCTCCGTTGTAGGGTAGGTTTGAAGGAAAGGAAAAGACTAAAGTCTGCTTTTCAAATATGATTGATCACCCTTTTGCTACCAACACACAGAGTGATCCTGTCTGTCGGTTGACAACCTTCAACGGAATTTAGTAAAAAGTGGTAGTGAGAAGACCTGGGATTCAATCCCAACACTTAACAGCTACCTAACCTTGGGCAGGTCACGATCTCTAAACCTGTTTGTTCATCAGTCTCAGGCATATAGAGCAATCTACTTTGTCAAATTCACAGAATTCTTGAGAGATCAAATGAGAATAATATGTAAAATAAGCTTTAAATTTTATAAAACAGCTTTTAACAAACATTTCCTGTGTGACAAAAAGTTTGAAACTAGAAATAAGCCATTTGCACTGGTAGTCTAGAAAAGAAAGCAAATATGTAAGGCAAATATCAGCACAAGGGAGCAATTGCTAATTGCTCTTAATATATTTAAGATAATTAAGAATATATGTAGCCAGGCACGTTGGCTCATGCCTATAATCCCAGCACTTTGGGAGGCCAAGGCGGGCTGATCACCCTAGGTCAGAAGTTCAAGACCAGAAACCTGTCTCTACTAAAAACACAAAAATTAGCTGGTGTAGTGGCACGTGCTGGTAATCCTAGCTACGCAGGAGGCTGAGGCAGGATAATCGCTTCAACCCAGGAATCAGAGGTTGCAGTGAGCCGAGATCATGCAATTGTACTCCAGCGTGGGTGACAAGAGTGAAACTTCGTCTTGAAATAAAATAAAATAAAATAAAATAAAATAAAATAAATATATGTAAAACATGCCGGTAATACAGCAGAGGAAGCGAATGCATTCTATTGCAGAGTAGGGAAATTTGAAAAAAAAAAGGCGGCTTGTAAACAGAGGTATTTGAATTGGACCTTGAGAAGTAAGTTCTGTGTATGTTTAGTGGTATGAAAAAGCATTCCCAGCAGAGAATGACCTGAGCAAAGACAGTGGTGTGAAAATGCATGTTTTGGGAAAGCCAAGAAATTTGGTATAGCTAGAGCATAAGGTTCAAGTAGAATGAATAAAAGGCAGATTGGGCCAAGTTACCTTGAGTCCATATTAGCAGTTATATAACTATTAATATAGAAAAGTGAATCAATCCCTACAATAGGTCACTATTTTGGAAAATACATAAGAAACAGGAAGCACTATGTTTTCTCACTAGAGTGACAAGCTATTCCAGTTTGACCAGGACTGTGGAGTTTACTGGGACATGGGACTTTCCAAACCTGGAAACACCCAGGAAAACTGAGATAAGGTGGTCACCACACTTACCACAAGAATAATTCACAGAAATTTGAGCACTGTATTCCATAGTATTTCTGGAAATACCAGCTGTAATCCATTTTGTTGAATTATATGGAAAGCCTCATTCAATATCTTAGATTCCCTAATGTATCACCTTCACATTTTTGGCACATGTGCCAAAACGTCTTCATGTTTACCTAAATACAACTATGTATACCAGAATGTGTAACTATGTCGGTAGAAGTTATGGAATGCACAAAGTTTTAAGATCTTTGTTAAGTGGGCCAGTTACTGTCTTGATTTCCAGAAAAGACTTATGGGTTCAAGACTATCTATAATACTGCCTGTTAGTAAGATAAAATATGAAACCATATTTACTTAACTCTTCATATTTTAGGCCAAAATAAGTGATAAAGCATTTGTGTTTTGCGGTATTCTTGGATGTACACAACAGTGATGTGGAAATATTTTTTTGGCTGCTGAGCACTTGAAATGTGACTAGTGTGACTTCAAACTGAATTCTTAATTTCGACTAATTTATATTAACATTTGAATAACCACATGTGGCTAGAAGCTACTGTGTTGGTCAGCACAGTTATATAATAATTCTTTTCATACACTTTAAGTTGGGCTAGAAATAGCAAAAAAAAAAAAAAAATTGTGAACATTTTTCAAATCAGTTGTTATAGGCTCCAAATAGGGACATACTTACTGATATCAACACAGTTTACTTAAGAAAATAAATGTTTGAATTGCTTAAGTGAAGCCAAAATACTATTTCCACCTTTGCTGACACAGTGGAAAATTTCAAAGCACAAAGTGAAGTTGGTAAGAAATAAATGTTTTCTTTCCAATTCCTACTGAAATTAAGACTTAATGATTTATTCAAATACACAATATTCATTGATAAAATAATGATTCTGCCACTAGAGTTTCTAACTTTATTTCTTTCAGCTTCATGATGATTAATCAAATCAGTGATGGTTCTTTCTTATAATTGTTAATTTAATTTTTTAAATGTTCTGCTGATTTTCCCTACATCTAAAATTCTTTCTTCCTTTGATCCTTTAGGTCCTCTCTGTTCTCTTACCTGTTTTTGCCTTTTTGCCTTCTCTGTTTAAAATGATCAAATCATTCTGACTTCCAATTTTCAGAAACATTTTCCACCTTTATTGTGATAAGCACTAGATATAATAGTCTCATGTTTTAGATTTATTAGTAATGTTTGATGCATTTTGATTTTGTATTTACACAACAAAAGATGGGACTATCTCATTCATTTATTAATAATGGATCAGAGTAGTAAGTCAAGAATAAGTGCATAATGTGGTTCAAATTTTTAAAAATATTCAGAATGAGGTAGTCTATTTTAATTTTTAATTCATCCACCCACCTTGCTTTTCTCTTTTCCATAATAGACTTCCCTGTGGATTTAACCTTATCTGTCTTTTTATCACTCAGAGGTATTACTTTTTAAATAAGAGAATCACTATCATGCAGAAACACCAAACTTTCCACACCATTCTTCATCACAGATGTTCATATGTGAGCACTTGGAGCTATTTCTAGATTATCATGACATGATATATTTAATTCCATTATTCAATCTAAAATTTTTTCCAGCATATGACAATATTATATGCTTCAAACACATAGCATAATCTTGAAGTCTTTTGCACAAAACAAGTAAACACAGTGCTAACTTAAGGGTAATAGTCGGTCTTCCACTGTATTTGCTGCTTGTTTATTTATTTCAGTGAGCATGTCAAAGCAAAATTTTTTTAAAAAATATTGCAACAAAGTTAAGATTAAGAAAACTCTATCCACTGACTTACTTTTTTTGTTCTAAAATGGTAAAAAAAAAAAAAAAAGCCACCGCTGTTATTTAATTTTAAAAACAGAATACCTAAATCTGTCATGAAAATCATACTGTTCTCCATGAGCATAATTTGAGAACTACTGGTTCAGACTAGTCTATTTAAAATGATATTGCCAAGTTTCCCTTAGACACTGTATCTAGGTGGGTGTTCACTTTGTTTCTAAGTACTGGAATTTTTTTTTAACAATAAACCATAGATTGGAAAAACAAGACTGGAGAGCAGGCAATCAAAACGATACAACAAAATCTATCTAGAGTCAACCTGATTAAATGATAAATATTTTGTTTCTCTTTTCATTCATTAGTTTGGAAACACCGTTTGGCTGAAAGGTCAAAGATACCAGAAATATCATCCTCCTCTGGAAGAAATCTGACCAAGTGAGAGAAAGACCCAGTTTTCTTAGAGTAAAAATTACTGTATCCAGCTTTCCAGGCCAGAAAAACAAATAAAATTGGGGATAAAAAATTTAAATGTCTATTGTCTGCTTCTTTCCCTCCTACTGAAACAAATACGAGAGTACAAAAAAGCAACGTCCCGTTTCACTGTGTGCCACTTTCCCTTCACTCACTGTGCTGCAACCCATAGGTTTCCTCGCAGTTCCTTGCCTCAGGATTTTCACACACACGTGTTCTCCTCCTGGGAGGCGCTTCTGATTCGGCCTGGGTTACTTACCCATCCCTAAGGTCTCAGTTTAGTCCATTTCTTTTCAGGGACATATGCCTTTTAAACTCCCTTCTACTATCATGTGCTTTTTCTTCACAGCACTTAACATTTTGCAATTAACAGATACTCACACAAAAAAATGTATGACATGTCTCACCTTCTAGAGTGTATCAAAAGCTCCCTATTTCTTTTATCACCTAGCCAAGTGTCTGGCACAGCAAGCCTTAACACTCAATATTTTTAAGTGGTCAGATAAATAAGGAAATACTTTGTAATTTTGACTTAAATGAGAGGCAACAATGGGATTCCATAGGCCTTTGTCATTTTGTGTGAACCCACTTTTCCACCCTTCTCTCTCCTGCAACTTACTACCCATTTAAATCCCTGACTAGTCATTGTGGTATTCTCTCAGAGGTAAGAATCATGCTTCCCTTAACTGACTTATCATGATTCCATCAGGATTCCAACTTCTACAACATTGTTGGCTGCCAGTCATCTTTCTTATGGCAGCCTTAGATGTTCTTTCCAGGGTGCCCAAGATGTGCTTTAAAATCACAGACCACCATGTTCAACAGAACTTCCCTCATGACGATGTTTCCATACTATTTGAAATAGTATGAGTTCACTATCATCATCCAAAAGCATGCAAAAATGATGACTTCATCATTGCACGTGTATCATATTAATACTTGTGCCATACTTCAGGCACGTCCTGCCTTGCAGTGTTCCAGACTGAGGTTGTCTTCTTGGCCACAGAAGATTTTAAATGAAAAAAGACATGAAAGATCCCAGGTTGGGAAGGGCAAAAGAAAAGGAGAAACACATTTATTGAGCACATATGTGCCAGATACTATACAAATGCATACTCAACACATACTCAATATTCAGAACAACCTTGTGAGATAGGTATTATCCCCATTTGCACATAAAGAATCCTTTTCGTTTTTCTACTGACATTAACTTCCATTTATTTTCTCCTCCCCACGACAGAGATTTTTAGCAGTTGTAAACCAGAAAAACATACTTCCATTCAATAAATATGAATTTAATAAAATAGGTTTCACAGTATATCAATGGATGATTGAAAATTAGAAGCTACTATCCTTCCCTATAGGACGACATTCTTTTCTAGCCCTTGTTAAAGACGCGGCTGCTAAGTCTTCTTGCTTAGTTTCTATTCTCCCTATTGACTGTGCACACACACATGCACACACAGCATTTTTATCACGATTCTAACATTGACTCTCTAGGCTTAATGGCCTTAGTCTAATCGGAGCTAGGAAGCTAGTTCAATGAACAACACATGTTGAATGTTCTCAATCGTGAAATGACCCCACCTTCTAATTAAAAAGTACTAACAAACAGAGTTTACGTGTCTCAGATAAAAGGGGACCATCTTTGTTTTATCTATACTTAAGGGGAGACTCAGAGGTTTTCCGTTATAGTTCTCTTCCAATCCTATAGGTAGGAATCAGGACTGAAGAGGGATCAGGTGCCCTACCACCTTTTCTCTGAAGGAGGTGTTGGTCCACATCTGTAATCCTGAGCAAGCAGAACCTTAAATTTCCTTTCCCTTCAACTCTTTTATTGGATTTCTATTCCTTCATTTCACTCCAAATGTTCTGGACCTTGTAATCATCTAGATAAAAATGTGGTTCCAGAGAAAACTGGCCTAGGATGGGAGGGATGAGCTTATTTACGTCATGCCCCAACAAATACTGCAGAGTTCTAAAACCTCCTTTGCGCACGCCCACCACTTCTACCCAGTGTTTCTAGGACTGGGACAGTAGAAGTCAGACTGACAATGTGTCTCAGCTCAGGGTGTATGGTGCGTAGAGTCTCATCCACCGTCATTTCAGATTTCCAGAGAAATGTGCAAAGGAAGATCAAGAATCCATGTTCCATTTCTCCCTTTGTGTCCCCTGGAAACACCATTCTCTGTTCTTAGAGGAATTGAGTCCAAGAACATATAATCATGCATGAATGTTTCTTGTCTGGGACTCTTCAAAGGATGCTGTAATTGTAGAAGAGGCTCTCCACTCGGATGCCGGCCACAGCTGCATACAGTTCAGGTACCACCAACTCTGGTACTTGTAACACAGCCTTGTCATCTGCAGTTCTAATGGCAGCTTCTAGGCGCAAGCGTAGCTCTCCAGGTGAGGGGCGGCCAGCCTCATGCCAGCGCCAGCAGGACTTCATAATATTATACCTGAGAGGGAAACAGAAGAAATTGACTTCCTTGACAGGGCAAATGTATGGGGAACCTGTCTCCTCTCCTCACAAACCTTAACAAAAAACTCTGCAATTCTTTAATTTTCTTCTGATTGCCCTGTTACTTGTATTCTTCCCAAAGCGTGCTACTGCTTCTCAATCTTTTTTTTTTTTTTTAAAAAAGCCTATAGCACCCGGTATTCCCAGGCGGTCTCCCATCCAAGTACTAGCCAGGCCCGACCCTGCTTTCTCAACCTTTTTATATCAAGTCTCTTAATATCACTTTCTCAACAAGTGCTCTTTTATGATAGGAATGACTTAATATTTTCCAAACTAGAGTATGACAGGACGGTTTTATCACTAGACGTCGTTTGCTGTACATTGTAAGCAATGCGCAATAAAGTAACAGGGCTGGGTGGAACAGAACACGTGCCATTTTTACTCTGATAGGAGACAGAGCTTTTAATCATTAATACTGCTGCATTCTTCAGGTTGATTTTCAGGTTTCAGATATCTCCTCATCTAATCCTTTTATGCTTGTGCCTTGAATCTGCTGCTAGAACTGCAGATGACAAAGCTGGATTACAAGTCCCAGAGGTCAGGTATTTTGTCAGTTAGATGTCTTTTCCAGTATCAAGAACAGCCTTTTACACATAGAAATGTTTGTCATCAATTCCTTTCTATTGTACCTAGCTTCATTACTATCCTCAGTGTGTGTGTGTATACATATATATAAGTATATATAAGATATTTAAACTTATATATAAGTATATATAAGATATTTAAACTTAATCTGCTCAACACAGCAATTGTTTATCATAAGGAAAACCAAGCACTGTAAATTTACCTATTCAATGATGAAAAGCTTACGAAATAGCAACAATTCTAATCGAAATATTAATATATTCTCTACTGCCTTTTTATAGACAATTTAACCTTTTCTTACATTCTACAGCAGTTCTTTTTTCAACTTCATCGGTAATAACTGTCTGCGTAATTTTTAATTTTTCCATTTCCTGCCTCTAGGTTGGTTCACTGTCTCTATCTGCTGACAACATTGGATCCTCCTTCTGCCTTTCTAATTTCTTCTTATCTCCCCTTCTTCTGGTGGGCATTTATCACACTGAAAGCTGGAAAAACAGGGAGACAGTCATTTAAAAGTTAAATACTAAATAAGAGCCGGCACACTCTGAATGAATAACTCTGGTGCAATGGATTTTCTGACAGCTGTCTGAACTGTGGCTGGCAGAAAACTGACATTTAGACTAAACACAACTAACTGTACTTGCAATGGGTTTAGTTTACTTGCTACCTATTTTAGAAGCTTCCCATGGAACTAAACTATAATAAAATTAGGTTCCTAATAATATAGTTCTCAGTGTGTGGTGGGGGTATATGTGTGAGTGTGTATGCGTGTGTTTGTGTATGGATATGTAGATATATAATATATATGTATGTTATATAATATATGAGACAGAAGCATTTTACTGCATGGATTTGGTTAAAAGCTATACACTGGTGCATACAGACAGGTGAGGATCATCTGAGCACTTTGAAAAGGGCACAATTGATAGAGGGCCAAACAATATTTGGAATGAAAGAAGAGCAGGTCTTGGGCTGGGCGCGGTGGCTCAAGCCTGTAATTCCAGCACTTTGGGAGGCCGAGGCAGGTGGATCATGAGGTCAAGAGATCGAGACCATCCTGGTCAACATGGTGAAACCCCGTCTCTACAAAAAATACAAAAAATTAGCTGGGCATGGTGGCGCGTGCCTGTAATCCCAGCTACTCAGGAGGCTGAGGCAGGAGAATTGCCTGAACCCAGGAGGCGGAGGTTGCGGTGAGCCGAGATCGCGCCATTGCACTCCAGCCTGGGTAACAAGAGCGAAACTCCGTCTCCAAAAAAAAAAAAAAAAAAAAAAAAAAAAAGAAGAGCAGGCCTTTAAAAACCACTTACATGGTATGTGTGCAGCTACTGGGTCTCTTCATGATTTTCCTTCTTTGGAGATGCTGTAGGATGCTGGTAGGAGGGACTTCAGGATACGGTGGTGCCCCTGTCATTAAGAAAATGATGAGAACTTTAGGGTCCTCTAAAATGTGAACTGTAACTGACACTATTCTTCATCCACTTGGGTTGGTTGCTTGCAAAAGATATAGCCATAGGAAAAATATTAGACACAATTCAGTTGCTCCCTGGTGATCAAATATGGACATAATTTAGTGAATTGGGAGGAAAGGTGTTTTGGAGAAAAAAAACCCCAGGTCAATTAGGAAAATTTTGACTATCTAAGAAAGTAATCAAATAAGTCTGGGCGCAGTGGCTCACACCTGTAATCCCAGCACTTTGGAAGGCCGAGGTGGGTGGATCGCAAGGTTAAGAGTTCAAGACCAGCTTGGCCAATATCATGAAACTATGCCTCTACTAAAAATACAAAAGTTAGCTGGATGTGGTGACAGGTGCTTATAGTCCCAGCTACTTGGGAGGCTGAGGCAGGAGAATCACTTGAACCCAGGAGGTGGAGGTTGCAGTGAACTGAGATCACGCCACTGCACTCCATCCAGCCTGGGCTACAGAGCGAGACTTCATCTGTGAAAAAAAAAAGGAATCAAATAAGACACAAGATCAAACAAAGTAAGACATAAGATCCGTCCTCCACTCCCCATACATGGGAAAGTGTGCAGTTTCTCAATCAAATGAATTACTAAGTCTGGAGTAAACATTTTTATGTTTATACAAGACCACTCTGGGAATTATCCTTGCGATTTGAAAACTTCCCTTGGATTTGGTAATATTTTGGAGTAAATAAAGAAAGAGAAAGAGAGCAAAAGAAAGGACAAAGAAGGACAAGGAAGAAGAGAGTGAGGCAAGCAGAAAATAATCACTTTATATGACTAGCCCAGGAATCAGGCTTAGACGACATATCAGTCCATTTCAATAGCTTCAGAGCTGTACTGAAACCCTTTCTGAAAGCATACATCATCATCCACCCCCTAAATAGACAAGCTTGCATATTTGCATACAGGTACAAACTATTTGGGGGCTCATCCTTACCTAGAGTCACCATCTCATAGAGCAGGATCCCAAAAGACCATCTGTAAAAGAAACAAAGCCATCTACTTAATTTCTATTTCCACTTTTTCTAAAGAGAGATTATTTAAGAGTCAGAAACCTTTAGTAAGAGCCCCATAAAAAAGGCAATGAAGGAGAATCAAGGATGAGTGCTTAAAAAACAAAATAACTGCCATTCAAAAGCATCTCTACTCAATTTCTGTAGATTCAAATCTCTTTTAGGATTGACGCTACATCTCTATTTTCCTGTATTTTAAATTAATAGATGTTTATTATTACTTGCCAACGTGAGTGCCTGTAATCACACAAGCACATTTACCTAAAGAAAGCTCCCTCTGCATCTTTTTCTTCCTTCCCATCCCTCTCTGCTGAAATTCTAGCCTTTATTCTTAGAGCAAAGCCAAGCAAGTTTCGTCAGTCAACATTTTCTTAGTAGATTTAATTGCCCAAACCTAGGAAAAATATTAACAGCAAGCTTTATACATAGTTGGAATAGGTATTTGCCTAAGCAGTATGACTTCAGAGATACACAGTTCACTATTCTACAATATCATTATTAAATGATTAATATTTTACAGTTAAGTTTATTACCCCCAGATGTCTATTGAAAAGCAGATGTCAGTGAGGCAGCAATGGAAATCTCATAACCGACTCATCATATTAACTGATATTCTAAATTTCCTCTGCTGTTCATGACATTAATGGCAAGTAGGATATTCTACATTACATCTATGTACTTCTCCAAGCAATTGAGTTACATGGCTACCCAAAGTCCAGCGTGATTCTTTATGATCCTGTTATTGCCAATTTTACATGTAATTGTAATTATGTGTAGTTATGTAATCAATTAAATATTTTATATACTGATTAAATGCAAAAAAGTGTTATCTTCCTTCCAATTAAGTTGAACGTTTTGAAAATTTTTATAAAAATAAACTGCTAAAAATCAAGTGTTACCAAATTGTGTGAGGGAGACAAATGTAGAAAATTGGGAAAAGTAGCATTAAAACTCTGCAGTCAAACAATTTCACAATGATTTTCAAGTTTCTCACTCTACTTAAAATCATCCTGAACTGGAACTCAAAAAGAAATCATTACAGATACTATTTACACTAAATAAACAACATATAACTTCATTTGGGAGACTCATCCTCATAAAAAGAAGCCTTGCCCCTCCTTCAAAAAAACCATATAGATGAATGTACATTTATAAGTTTTTTGTTAAAATAAGTTATTGAAGGTATGTATATTTCTTTCTATTTTAACAATTTATGGCTTAACTGGCCTTTTGGTTAAGTGGACCTACCTCCTTCAGATAAAAGAGACTTTACTAGATTAATTCCTTAGATATTAATGTGAATAATCGTTTCACTTTTTTTTCGAATTCGACTGGTAATCTAATGCAGAAGAAATATTTGAGGCTGGGCATGGTGGCTCATGCCTGGAATCCCAGAACTTTGGGAGGCCAAAGTGAAAGGATAGCTTGTGCCCAGAAGTTGTAGACCACCCTGGGCAGCAGAGTGAGACCCTGTCTCTACCAAAAAAAAAAAAAAAATTAGCCAAGTGTGGTGGTGAATGCCTGTAGTCCTAGCTTGTGCCCAGAAGTTGTAGACCACTCTGCAGCAGAGTGAGACCCTGTCTCTACCAAAAAAAAAAAAAAAAAATTAGCCAAGTGTGGTGGTGCATGCCTGTAGTCCTAGCTTCTAGGGAGGCAGAGGTAGGAGGATAGCTTGAGCCCAGGAGGTAGAGGCTGCAGTGAGTTGTGATCATGCCACTGCACTTCAGCCTGGGCAACATAGTGAGATCCTGTCTTAAGAAAAGAAAAGAGAAGAAAAGAAAAAGAAAGAAAAGAAAAGAAATAGTTGAAAAGGTACCAAAAAGGATTGCAGACAGATGACAAACATGAACTCTGTCACATAACATTTCTGCTTGAGAGAGTATGTTTAATTTCTAGGTAGAGATTTTATTTGGAGACATAATTGGCAACAGATCAAATCATTTTCAGGGAGAACACCCAAGTCACAAAGAAAGTAAACTCAGAGTCCAGGAATAAACCTTACACATCTGCTTTGATGCCAGCAGGTCTTAGGAGAAGCCGTTCTGGGGCAAGCCACTTGAGAGGTATGGTTTGAGAAGAGATGGCCCCTCGGGTATAAACTTCATAAGCCAGGCCCAATCCACAGAGCTTAGCAGTGAGATCACTTTGGATCAAGATATTCCTGGCTGCCACATCCCCATGGAACAAATGCTTATCCTGCAGGAATTCCTATCAGTATAAAATCAAATATGATCAGTTGTCTGAGGTCACAGCTTGGGTCACAAACAAGGAGAGGCAGTTCTAGGAATCTTCGAAAACACAAGGACATTTTCTACGCTGAACAAATCTCACTAATAATGGTATGTCACTTCCAAAGCATGCTGATGAATCACACATTTCTGCATTGTGTTTAAGATTACCAAATTGAGCAAATAATTCAAATGACATTAATACTGGATTTTGAAAATATAATTACCCATTCTGTGTCAAACACCGACCCTTGCTTGATTTTCCTTTCCCAGCTAGACACTGGAGAAGGGAGTAGATTCCAAGTTTCTATCAGTAGACCCGAAAACAATGTAATACATACCAAAACTGAGTGTGATTATATATATAGATAATTTTTTCCATAAAATAACTGCATGAGTTGAATTTGGAAATTCTCTTTTAGATCAATCTAAATGATTATAAAAGGCCATTAAGTGGTAATGACCAGAACCAGGTATTATAATTCATAGGATGTACTATACAAACTCTACTAAAAATTCTCAAGTCGGTCTGCATATTGGAATTGCCTGAGAGTTTTTAAACATAAGATTTTCATCCCAGATTTACTAAACCAAAATGTAGGAAGAAAGACCTGGTAACCTGTATTTTTAAGAAATATCAAATTCTAGTACAGTCAACAAAGCATTGGAGAGCCACGGCACCCTACGGTAACTGACGTGTGTTGTCATTTCCTCTGGTATCAAACTATTTAAGGCTTAAGGAGAAGTTGCAAAACTATACATGACTGAAGATCTGGAGCTTGAGGGCTGTGATTCCTAAAGAAGGATGGAAAATTAAAAGGTAAAGGTGATAGAAAATTAAAAGGTAAAGGTGATAATTTCCAATCATTGATGACAGAGAAAACTAGCAGTTTTCTGCGTCTGGTGAAGCTTTAAAATAAGAAACGATACTGCCCTGATAAGAATTAAAGAACATAACTGACTTTGAGGTTGTTAAGGCAAGAAAAAGTAGTACGATATTGCCTTGTAACAGGTAGCATAGGGTCCTGATGAATGCACCAATTTGAACAATTCATCCCTGTGCAACACCTCTACAACTGCGGTTCTGAGTACAGGGTAGGCTGTATCCTGACACCTTTTATCAAGGGAACATACCCACCAGGCCCACCCAAACACCATAGACAATATTCATATATATGCTGTGTACTCTCCCTTGTCCCATGGGTGCTTCAACCATAACTATGATTCTTTACCCACCTTAATTTTTTTTCTAACCTTTTCCTGATTCCACTTAAATCCCTGGTATATTTCACACCTTGAGGTAGCAAGATACAACAAATTCTTAAAACAGTAGCTTCACAGAGCCCCGATTTTCCATAGAAAATATTAATTTTAAACACAGCTATTTAAATCGTTTCACAGAAATAGACATATAAACTTCCTAGGTAATTCTGGTAAAGGTAAATTTTTTATCTTGAACACCTTAAACCCTGAGTTCTTTCTCTTACCTGTATCTTTAAGTTGGTTTAAAATAAAGGAACGATCCTACTGTTGCTCTTCTCATTGCTCTTCTTTCATTTGTTCCTTAATCATTTTATAATTATATGTACTCCCTATCACATTCAGTATCAAAGCAAGTCTCCAAGCAAACATGCTCTGAACTAGTTTTTCTTGTTTTTCAGGTGCAAAATTGCATACTTCCTTCTAGTGCTGCAGCCTTTTACCCATTCAGTTTCTCTTTCCATATCTTCTCCCTACTCGCTTCCCTATCTGTCTCTTTCACGTCTATTTCACGTACATACGGGGATGTAAGAGTGTCAGGTAAATGGGCACATACCTCTGGGCCCTGGCTGTAGATTTTTAAGACAGAAAAATATTTACAATCCTTCTGTTCCTTGTATCAACCCTAAGTTAACTACTTTCTTCCTGAAATTACCAATAGTGAAGTAAATTGTCTAGATAAATCCCCAAAGAAGGGACTAAAAACAATGTATTCGTGCTTGAGTTTTTGCCCTCTAATTTCTATCTACTTTTCTTTGAAACATATATACTACTTGAGAATATGAATATGAGAAAGATGGCATCAAAAACAAGGCTAACAAGGAAATGTCACACCATCAGTTGTCATTTTTGCCTCATCTTACCAGAGCCAAAAGGACCTGCTTTCCGATGTGATATACTTGTTTTTCTGTGAGATCGTAGAGAAGACCGTCCATGGTCATCACATCCTAAAGAGACAGGGGAAAAAAACATTGTATCAAAATGGCACGAACAGATTTGGAAAAGAAACAAAGTTGGGCAGAGATACTCTGAAATGCAGTTATCAAAGCTAAGAAAATATAAGAATTAATGTTCAAAGTGAGGCTGACGTGGAGACAGGCAGATAAATAAAATGATCCATTGGACTGGAAAAACAATGACAGACATAGATGAACAGCAGGTAAGTAAGACAAGTATAATTAAGACTATCCACTGAATAAGGCAGCAGTTTTTCTGGGGCTCTGTGTGTATGCACGTGTGCATAGGCACGTGGGAGCACACACATGCTCATGATTAATTTAGTACATTAACTCAATGCATCTTTACTGAATGCCTGAAATGTCCCTCATTTCATGTTAGAAACTTGAAATACAAGCATGAGTAAAATAGCATGGCTGCTGCCTTCTGGAGCTTGTTGTGTGGCAGACGCACGTGAGTCAGAATCAAATAATCATACATAAGTAAATGGTTACATATCTGTAAGTGGCATAAAGAAAATGTACAAAGTGCCAAGAGAGCATATGATGGTGGGCAGAAGACAGTGGATTCAGTTGGAGGGACAGGGAAAGTGTTTGATGAGATCTGAAGGATGAGTAGACATTAACTATAAAAAGGACAGAAGGGAGAAGTTTGGTGGAACAAGAAAAATATATAAAGATAATCTGAAATAGAAACACATGGTATTTCTGAAAAATGGAAAGAAGTTAGTGCAGTTAGAGCACAAAACAAGTTTTAGATGAGCGACGTCTTTAAAAAGGTTAAAATGCCTAAATACTTGCACATTGTGCTATTGACAGCACTGGGTGGAAGACAATAACAGGGTCCCTTTCTCATACATATTCAGTTGTACAATACTCAGCATATTAAGGAGGTTCAGTGAATATCGAACTTGCCCACCAGCAAGCTGAGAAAGTAGGGAAACAGGTAGCAGTTCTAACGGAGGAATACAGAGTAAGGGAAATTTTAAGGAAAGAGACAACCATTTGAGGCTAGAAATTTCTGAATATTTTAATTTTAAAAAACATGAATTTGAGGTACAAAAGCTTTACCAGCTAAATTTCTCCCTGAGTTTGCCCGACCATACTATGGTGATGTTATAGAATGGAAAAGACAGTAGCAACAACAAAATTATAATCATTACCAAAAATACTCACGTTGTTAAGTAATTATCATTATAACAGCTGCCATTTTGAGTGCTTACTCTGTACTAATCATTGCTGTTTTCACATACAGAATTTCTTGTATTTTTTATAATAATTATTACTCCCATTTTACTGATTTAGAAGACTCATGATCAGAAAGGTGACTTGCTCAGTCACGTAATTAGCAGGAGGTGGAGCCCAAAGTCCATGCTCTGAACTTGCACTGTCCACTCTGTGCTCATTAGTCACATGTGGCTATTTCAACTTACGTTATTTAAAATTAAATACAATTTAAAATTTAGTTTCTCCGTCACATCAGCCACATTTCAAGTGTCCAGAAGCCATCTGTGATTAGCGGCTTATATTGGATGGAGCAGTTATAAAACATTTCTATAATTACGAAAAGTTCTTTTAGATGGTGATAATTATTCTGTCATGCTATTATAATGTCTCTGCATTTTGTCTTTTGTCACACTAACTGACATGTGAAAAGCTAATCAAGAAGGTCAAGTCTTAACCTCCTAAGACCTCTACCCTACTGCTCACCCGGCGACAGGTCCAGAGAAAGCTGAGCAGGTCTCCATGGACCACATCCTCCAGCACCATATAGAGTGGCAGCTTCTCGGTGCAGCAGCCTTCCAGCTGCACCAGGTTCTTGTGTTTCCCCAGGTATTGATGGAATTGGACTCGCCCCAAGAAATCCTGTACCTCATGGAGCCCAGCTGGTTCTGTAGAGGACAGAAGAGCCAAGCAGTCAGAAGTCAGCACATCCTCAGTGAGTGGGAGGCAGGGCACAGGTGGCAACTTAAGATGGTAATTCTTAAGGCCCTATGTGGGAGTGAGTGCAGGCAAAAATAAATACAAAGGGGACCTGAACCTTTTTTTTTTTTTTTTTTTTGAGACGGAGTTTTGCTCTTGTTACCCAGGCTGGAGTGCAATGGCGCCATCTCAGCTCAACTGCAACCTCCGCCTCCTGGGTTCAGGCAATTCTCCTGCCTCAGCCTCCTGAGTAGCTGGGATTACAGGCACGTGCCAACATGCCCAGCTAATTTTTTGTATTTTTAGTAGAGACGGGGTTTCACCATGTTGACCAGGATGGTCTTGATCTCTCGACCTCGTGATCCACCCGCCTCGGCCTCCCAAAGTGCTGGGATTACAGGCATGAGCCACTGCACCAGGCCCAATGTCACTGAACTTTTATCAAAGGTAGCAAGGAATTACAATTAATAGAACTGGATAGGCTTTCATCTGCCTAAATAGAGAGATAGTCTGTTTGCATTAAAAAGTTATCACTGTCTAGGCCTTTGGATTAATATCCTTGCTTGTCTTATCCTTGTTCTATGTATCCATCATTACTGGCCCATGTCATAAAGAAGAGAGAGAGAGAGAGAGAGAGAAAGAAATATAACATCAGGTGGGCTCAGTGGCTCATATCTGTAATCCCAGCACTTTGGGAGGCCAAGGGAAGTGGATCACCTGAGGTCAGGAGTTCGAGACCAGCCTGGTCAATATGGTGAAACCCTGTCTCTACTAATAATACAAAAATTAGCTGGGCATGGTGGCACATGCCTATAATTGTAGCCACTTGGGAGGCTAAGGCAGAAGAATTGCTTAAACCTGGGAGGTGAAGGTTGCTGTGAGCCTAGATCACACCACTGCACTCCAGCCTGGGTGACAAGAGTGAAACTGTCTCAAAAAAAAAAAAAAAAAGAAAGAAAGAAAGAAAGAAATATCGTATCAGAAAGGGGTATCAAAGAGTAAAGTAAAATGAGGAAACAACCATGGAATCCTAGCCCAGTAACATTCATGGTGAAAAAATGAGTTTTAACAGCCTCAATAGGCAAAGATGAGCCAGGGTACCTAGGATGCAAAGATATTTCAGCATATGCAAATCAATTCTGTGACATACCACAGTAACAGAATAAAGGATAAACATCATGTGATCATTTCAATCAATGCAGAAAAGGCATTTGGTAAAATTCAACATCCTTTCATTATAAAAACACTACACAAACTCATGTTGTTACATAATTATCATTAAACAACTGCCATTTGGAGTGCTTACTCTGTACCAAATGCTGCTATGTTTTCACATACATAATTTCTTGTATTTTTTATAATAATTATTACTCCCATTTTACTGATTTAGAAGCCTCAGGATCAGAAATTATTATAAAAAATACAAGAAATTATGCATGTGAAAACATAGTAAGTACAGAAGGAATGTACCTCAACACAATAAAGACTGTGTGAAAACCCACAGCTAACATTTTACTCATCATAACATTATACTTACTTGGGGTAGTCATTTTAGTTATTATTTGGAGATGTGGGTGAAGATCCACAAATAAACAATTTGTATAATTTTTTTAAAAAGACACCAAGAAGAACATTTCTGTCTCAAGGTATTTCCTTCTTTTGTACACAGTTATGATCACAACTATCTGTTGATTAACATCTCAATGTTCGCAAATCCTGTTAATATTTACTGTCAGGGAAGTCAGGGGTGAAACACTTCTTGTTTTACCTTTTAAAGCTTTGAGAATAACACTCTTGGGCTTCGAAGGGTCCCCAGTGTTCATACTGGCTCGAAAGATGGGCCCACAGCTACCATTGCAAATCTGCTCCAGAACTTCAGAGAGTTGCTCCCGGGGCACCTCCAGCTTAGCCAAGGCAGGTGTGGTAGCTCCCAGAAAGTTTTCCACAGATGTCTCCTTAAGTGGCAAAGCCACATTTCCTCCACATCCAGCTGCTTCCCAGCTTAGGTCCCTAGATGGAGGGACAGGAGCAATGTCTAGAACAGAGAGATGATGTCAACCAGTTTTTCCCTGCCCTGGGGATTCCCGGAAAGCAGAGCCTGAAACCCATTTGGCAAGGAAGTTCCTGCAGCAGTTTTCTCTTGGGCCAACGTGGAGTTGTCTTCTGACACTTCTCTATAAACCGGCATCAGTGCCAAGCTTGTAGAACCCTCATAATAATCCTCAGAGCTTCTTAGGACAACTCAGGAAGGACCCCAGGAAAGTGCTCATAACACTTCCTTTCTGTTTTCCTCAGGGTTCCAGCTGAGCACTCCCCATGAGGGTGGTAAGGAGACAATCAGGAAAGTTCCTGATAGGCATCCAAACCACAGATGCCTAAAGGTGGAGGTAACTGCCAGTGAGAACTGTCATTTAAGTCAGACAAATGGCTTTCAAAGCAAAGGTATGAATAATTAATCGACTTCAAGCTATGATTATTCTTCTTCCATGAAGCTGCCCCAAAAGTCAAATTATTTCATATTTCCTTGAGTCTTGGTCAAAAAAAGTCTTCTGGTACTTTCTCCCTCCCTTTGCCAGAAAAAAAGAGAGGTTCATCCTCTTATTAAACCTACATTTATTCATTAATTCATCCATTTATTCAATAAATATCACCTATTAACATGCCATGTACTGTTCTAGGTGTTGGGAACAGGCGAAGTCCAGATTCACCTGAAAATTACTTTCTAGTGGTAGGGGAGAGGAAACAGCTAATAATATATCAGGCAATTAATATTGTGGAGGAAAACAAATGAAGGAGAAGGAGCTGAGTGTGGTGCCATGAGCCTGTAATCCCCACTATTGGGGAGGCCAAGGCACGAGGATCTCCTGAGCCCAGGAATTAGTGGTCAGCCTGAGCAAAATAGCAAGACTCAATCTTTAAAATAAAATTTAAAAATGTGGGGAGAAGAAGCATCAGTCACCTATGTTATATATGAAGGTCAAGAAAGGTCTTTCTGATGAGATAACATTTGAGAAAGGCCCGGTAGCAACTAGGGAGCAAATCATGCTGATGTCAGGAAGAGTACTGTAGGCAAAAGGAGCCAAAATTGCAAAGGCATTAAGCAAGGAGCATACCTGGAATAGCTGAGAAACAGCAAGGAAGCCAGTGAGCTGGAGCCAAGTGAGATCATTGGAGAGTAGCAGGAGATAAGGCCAGGGAGGAACAGATCATGTAAAGCCATGGAAAGAATTTTGCCATTTTTCACTCTGAGCAAGATGGGAAGCTACTACATGTGTGTGTGTGGCAGACAGATTTCAAGCTGATAATTAGCAGGACTGACTGTATTAAAAGACTAATTATGGCCTCTCTATAAAGGAGCAGGGGCAGAAGCAGGACCTTAGGAGTGTATTGCAATGGTCTGTGAAAGGTGAGAGTAACGTGGGTTTATTTTTAAAATAGAGTAACAGTGTTTGCGTATGAATTAGATATGGACTGTGAGGGAAAGATGGGAGTTAAGGATAACTTCAAGGTTTGAGAAAGAAAACAGAAAAGACAGGGCTTGCCATTTTCTAAGACAGGCAAGACTCTTTAGGGAGAACATTTGTGAAAGAATTTTAGGACCTTTGTTTTGGGCATATTACACAAGAGATTTCTATTCTGTTGAAACTGTACAGTAGGTGGTTTAATATGAAAACTGAGTTCAAGGCACTATCATTGGAATAGAAAACGTATTTGAATCCATACGACTAAAGATCATACCACTTAGGAAGTGGCTTTAGTTTTTTAAAGTATTTCAAGATAGAAAAAGTTCAAAACTGTTTCAAATGCTTTTGACAGATCAAGTAAGACGAAGATGAAGACTTGACCACTGGGCTTGTCAACATATTTCTCCCTGATGGGCTTGGAAAGACTTGTTTTGGTGAAATGATAGAGAAAAAAAAAACCCTAATTTAGTGAGATCAGAAGAGAACGTGATGAGTAGAAGTAGCAGGAGTGAGTTTAGACAACTTGTTTGAGAAGTTTTCTCTAAAAGCAAAGTGAGAATCGCGATAAAATTTAAAGAAAATCGAATGATCAGCCACTATAGGGTTGCATATCATTATGAGAGTTTTCGTTTCCCTTCTTTTTACCCTTAGTTTCATGTCTGAGCCGATTCCCTTTTATTAAATGCTCGGTGGAACTCCAGAACAGCCTGTTATCATCTCCTACTTAGTACTTCAAAGACTATTACAATATGAAGGCCACTTCTTCTTTCCATCATATATCCTGGAGGCAAAGAGTAGGAATGAATGAAATGGGATGAAATGTCATCCTCCTAGGATGCTAAGGAAGCCGTGGACTTTAAGTCTTTCTCCTAAGTCCTCAGGCTCTCATATGGTCAAAGTTTTGATAGTCCAATAGGAAATGAAACAGGTTATATGAGGTTTTCTTGCACACTCTCTTTTCAGTCAATAAACATGTGTTGAACTCCAACTCAGGACTTCCTAGAAAAGAGATCACCCTGCTCTCAACTCCACAGGAGGGAACACATGCCTCTCTCATTGCAGGTACTTAGACTTCTAGACATGGGCTCATTGAAACTTGGACCACATTTTTTTTCTAATCTCCATCTTCTCTAAGCCCCTGCCCAGCCCCAAAGTCTGAACTTTTTACCTCGAGGTCCAGGACGCTGCTGTTGAGTTCTTTGCTCTCTCATAAAAAGCCACAGGATGACCCCAAGAAGGATGAGGAAGATAGTAACCAAGAAAGTTGGGACGATAATCACTTCATACTGCTTCTCCTGGATGACTGGGTAATCAATCACACAGGAAGAGAAGAGAATGAAGAAGCCTTACCTGGTGTTCATGCCATTTCCCCTACCCGCCAGCTCTCAGCTCACTGTACATGAAAAAGTCATCTCTTCTACCTTCCCCTCTACTTCCATTCAACAGAAATGCTGCTGGGAGCAACTCTCTAATCAGAAATCCCAGTGGCCCTGTTTCTTAGCCCTTCAAGTGTGCATGACGCTGCTTCTGGCAGTTTTCCTACCAAGACTGAAGATGCAGCATCTGTATCTCTGATCAGTACTCACCCTCTCCCCAAAAGACAAGGGCTTCTAGTCCTCATCCTTTTATCACCACTGCCTTCATTTCTACTGGAAATCAAATCATCCTCCTTCTAGAATCAATCCAGAGCTTAGCCTTCATAATTCTAAATTCAGAGGATAGACATCTGTGGAATCTGTACTTACCACACAACTTGTCACTGAGACTGCATTCCAAGAGCATCCGTGTCACGCCCATTGCCACAGGGATGTCTTCTTCCCTGCCAGGCCCACAGAGAATGCACGGAGCACAGCTGTGAGTAATTCCTAAGGGTTGAATGGCTCTTGAAAAATAAAATAAAATGGAGCACACGCAGAATTTTAAACTGCCTCTACAGATCACTAGTTAAGTAAATGGCTACCTCTCTGAGTCATCCATTTATGTCTCTTTATTTAGCTGATATTCAGGCTGGAAGAATACTGCCAACCTCCTCCTCCTCTCAGCATTTCTCGCTTCTCTGTTATACAGCAAAGACAGCTCTGATCTGGTCTTGTCCTTTCATTCGATTGCTACTGAAATTATTTGGAAGTGTCTCCTCCCACCCGAGACTTCTGCTCCCATGATCAATGACAGATTTACAACATCCATCTGAACAACTGTGATCCTTGGGTTAGGTGGGCATGATCTACCTCCCCTATTGTCTTAAGCATATTTAATACATTGTTTTAGCTGGGCATCACACTTTTTAAGCAAAACGTTTTTTGAGGTTGGGATCTTGGTCTGTAGTCCAGGCTTGAGTGCAGTGGTGTGATCACGGCTCATTCAAGTCTCAGACTCTTGGGGCCAAGTAATCCTCCTGCCTCCGCCCCCTGAGTCTCTGGAATTACAGGTATGAGCTACCATGCCTAGCTCTAAACAAAACATTTAATTTCATTTTTATACACAGTTAATTCAGACAATGAAAAAAAATTGACAGATGTTAAAGGATATGAGTTATATGTTTGCTTTTTTTCTGCAATATCCGCACCCTCACAAGCAAGGAGCAAGCAGCATTTATCAATAGAAACTGTTTAATTCCTCATCCCTCAGAGCTTCAAGGTGCTTGCCCTGCTCATATCAGACATAGACGTGGACACTCATTCCTACCAGGATATAAAGGGAGTATCAGTACCAAGTCATCTTCTCTTTCTCTTACTCTTTTAAATAAATAGAAAATGAATTCACGTGATTCAAAAAATGGAAATGTTAAATTGTATAGCATAAAAATCTTTCTCCCACCAGATTCTTCTCCATTTATCAAGTTGTTAATTCTCCTCCAAGTAGACTCTAGTTGTTAGTTTCTTGTTTGTCTGGCAAGGGATTCTTATGTGTATCTCTGTTAAGTGTATATAACATAATCAGCATATATTTCAAATAACACCCCCAGAAACTTGGTTCCTTCTTTCCAAAGAGATTCATGTTTACTACTCTTCCATACCTCTCCAAAATGTATATTTTGCCTTTGCTTGAGAAGCCACGCTCACAGTTCCATAGTCAGCAAAGCCTACTTCTTTAATTCTGATTAACTTGAAAGAAAATATGGTAATTTTTCTGCTAAATAATTCTAAATATGTGATCCAGTTTTGTAGTGACTTGATAAAAACATAAAACAAAAATCAGAACTAGAGCTTATATAATATGCTACTATATTGTACAGGTGTTAAATTAGCCACATTATGCTGTCCTCTGCCATTGCATTATGCATTATTTTATTACCAATAACCACAATGTTATTTACTGAGGCAGAGTCTCTCCGTGTCTGAAAGACCTATGTAAAGAAGCTTCCCAGATTCTGCCTTACCGGTTTTCCAGTCTTCCTGGAGCACCATGAACTTGTATGTGGGTTCAATAGCAAAACGATTCCCTTACAACTCAAGAGACACAAAGTGTGTAGTTAGTTGACAGAGCCCAGGTAAACAGCAAAGGAGCCAGTGGGTGGAAAATTGCACAGAAGAGGGAAATTCTTATCTGTGGGTTTGTACATAGAACGGGATCTAAGACGTCGATGAATAGTTAGACAGCAAAGTTCACTAGATGCGGTGGACTTTGCTGTCTATCTCCTACCAAAGGAGAAAGGTGGCTGAGAAAGTTTCCACAATTCTCGAGGCCACATGGAAGGACAGGCACTAGCGACGAAACTTTTAAGAAACAAAGCCTTGAGAGTGTTCACAGAGAAGAAGGTCTGAAAAAGAAAACATTGGATCAGCTGGGTGACCTCATGGAGGCTATCAGAAAATTTAGCACTGCTATTCTCATTCTTAGTTTTCTTTTCTTTGCTTCCTTTTTACGGGATTATCGGAAGTAATTATTTTCATTCAGGGAGCAGCCAGTTTAACCAGTCTGGCTTTCTGGGGAGGAGGTTCTCTGGGCACACTCTCTCTTACCATAGCACACGTGGAGAAAAGGGTCAGTCAGCAGCTAGCTCTGACTCGTGATCTCTACCCAGAAAACAAACGATACACCCACTAATACATACTGAATGGAGTCATTCAAAGCCATGTGTGCACGTGTACCCCCACACAGAACTGCTCAGGGAGGGTCATCTGTACTCAACAATAGGCTCCTGGCCAAACACACCTGTCCCTGATAACTCAAACTCATGCTCATGCCCTTACACTGACTATCACACCTATTACAGAGCACTCACCTTTGGATGCAATATGGCCTGCTACTGCATTTCCTGAGCCAGGTTCTCACCATCACTTCTATTTGTATGTCAGTAGTTTAAAGAGGCAAGGCATATTAATACCTAGCAACCCAATGAAATTGGATGCTAGAGCAAGGAGATTAATGTATAGAGTGATGAGGCCCACTCAGTGAAATTGCTTTCCATGTGTGTGTTATTCACGTCCAATAGTACCGAATATTAAGTGCATTTAATGAACAGATCTTCCAAACAGGCTCTGTGTGAGCAACAAGGCCGTTTTATTTCTTGCTTGGGTGCAAGCAGGCGGAATCTGAGAAAGGACAGGCGAAGGGGGTAAGGTGGGAATTGGCTTCATAGGTTGGGGGGTTTTCTTGGGGGCTGGGGGTGTTGCAGAGTAAGATCAGTTACAGTGGTGGGAGGGGTAGGGGCAAGGAGTATACATGACCACAAGATCAGTTACAATGGCAGGGTTGGGTGAGAGGTATTTACATTATCATAAGAACAGTTAAGGGAGGCCGAGGAGGGCGGATCACAAGGTCAAGAGATCGAGACCATCCTGGCCAACATGGTGAAACCCTGTCTCTACTAAAAATACAAAAAAATTAGCTGGGTGTGGTGGCGCGCGCCTGTGGTCCCAGCTACTAGGGAGGCTGAGGCAGGAGAATTGCTTGAACTTGGGAGTCAGAGGTTGCAGTGAGCCGAGGTCGCGCCAGTGCACTCCAGCCTGGTGCCTGGTGACAGAGTGAGACTCTGTCTCAGAAAAAAAAAAAAAAAGAAAAACAGTTAAGATGGCAGGGGTGAGTGAGGGACTTGTCCGGGGAAGCTCTGCTGCGCGATCAGGGACAATGGAGAATGCGGGCAGCGGGTGGGAGACATCAGCCAGGATAGTCAGGACTTCAGACTTGCAGGCTCCAGCCTTGCATATGGAGACCTGACAATGTGTATACAGTAAGCCCTTTCTAATGGTTACAGTTTAGGTAGAGGCATATGGAATGTACTAGATAAGCCTAGGATTTTTAAGGCATACATACCAGGCATACCCATACATATCCATGAAAGCCAATGTGGGAAGTTCACCAGGCAGAGGTCACCAAAGCTCATACGTCAGAGGACACTTACATTTACTTGTAACAGCAATATTCCTCTCTAGATGACTTTTTTCTTTGAAATTCATACTCAGAAACCACATGGCTTTGCCTGGACACTCTGTCAAGCTGAGAAAAGGCATGCCTTGATGCCAAAACCCTCTAGGATGACTTTTCCCATGGGTTCAATTCTGGTCCACCTGACTACTAGAAGAATACTTCGGGCTAAGATTCCTGTTCAACCTGACCAATACTGTGCTCCCTTTCATTACATCTAAATACTTTTCCCACTATGTTAAAAATAAAATATGTAGGCTACTGCTTCTTCTCTTAGCTGAGCTGTAAAATTCTTAACACTATAAAGCGTTATCCACAGTTCTCTATTTAATTTCATGAATAATGAAATTCATGACATTAGAATCAAGGGTCTAGTGAAATTGTAATTTATTTTATTCTGATAACCATGTTTGATAGTTGCAAAATATGATTGTATATAGGTTGCCTCCAGTTTACATATTCCTTTATCTACAGAGTCAAATCTCTTCAGGCAGGGTTTTAATTAGAACAATAATATTGCCTCACTTGCAGTTATCATTCCTTAATTTTTCTCTCATAAGTGGCTTCAGACTTTCTCTTAGCATGTTAAAAGGTTTCACTTCCCTCTTTAATTGAGAATCCTGAGGAGAAACATCACAATGAAGGAAATACAAAAAGGAAGAGAGTGAAAGTGAAATGAGCAGTAAACTCCATGCTAAATCTTTGACAAGACTATCTAGTCTGAGGACCATAAAAGCTCATGAACATAACCATAACGAAATTGAACTAAATAGTAATATTAATTCTCTGAATTTTTATACATACAAGCATAATGTCACATGGCATTTATGCATGTATTTTAATCCAGACTAGATTCTGTTTGCAACAATGACACAATTCTTATTAAGTGGCATTTCTTTTTAGTTAGTACAATACAGTCTCTGGGACACAATCTACAATTTACTCATGACTTTCCAGAATAAACTCTTCTTACCAAAATATACCTAGATATAAGACTTCTAAAATTAGACTTCCTGTACTCTGCCTGCTTACATGTTGTTAAAAATTTCGTGATTGAACTCAGTGTAACATCTGGCCCCATTCTAGTAAGGTACAATTAAATCTGTGTGTCAGCCTCACCTTCAACATTACTACTTGCTTATCAACGCACGTGGGTCTTCCAGTTATGTTTTTTTTTGGATAGATAAGTGATCTACCCTCCCAAGTGGATGCCATATGGGTCAAGGAAGTTATTAATGACTTTGGGCTAGCAGGCAGAGGACTCAAGACTAAAAGTGAGACGGGTAAAATATATGGAGGTAGTAGCTCGTAGCCAGAAACAGTCTGCCTTTCATCCTTTGTATAGTTCGTCTTTCATCCTTATCCTTGAGCTATCTGAAAAAAAAAAAAAAAGACAAAAACAAAAAACAAAACAAAACCAAATAAACAAAAAACATGTTTAATAGACTGAATACATTAATTTGTGAGTGAGAAAACAGTGCTCA